AATTATCATCCTTCTCCATGTTTCTCGGACAATTTCACCTATTGAGAAACGTGGCAACGTCGAAGTAATTTCTTTTTTTTCATAAATATACGAATAACTTGACGAATAACACACTTTGTGCAACACATTTTGATGAAACCACGAAACGGTTCGCTCAATTACCTTTCTTTTGTGCTTGGGACGCGAAGAGGGGGGAAAAGAGGAGGTGGGGAAAAAACGTAATCTTTGTTTCCACGTCGCGCGTGTGCGTGTATACGTGTGCGTGTAAATATCGAAGAACAACAAGGGATAACGCGTTTATTGCAGCGCGGATGGAAAACAATGCTCGTTCGATAAATAAACGAGGGGTGAACAACCGCAACACGGGTGAATTTTCGTAGTAAGTTCGTTAACGTAACGCGTGTCAACCCTCCTCGACCACCCCCTCCCCCACCTATGTTTTCGCGTTTAATTATAAAATTACAATTGGGGGTCCCGTCGTGTTTGGTCCATCATCAATGATTTCGAATGACGAAATAATGAGACTGTTAGAACAGCGCTTCAGCGCTTTTTGCAATCTCTCTCTCTCTCTCATTAAATTAATTCGGCGCCCGAATGCAATGGTCGAATACTTATGAAAACATCGATCATCAGATGATCCTGCGTCGTGGAATTAGATTAATTAATTAATGGACAAATTGAACGGGGTATTATTTTTGTCGAGATTTTAAACAAACGATTCGTGATTTAAAAATGCGAAAACAAAAATATCGATTTTCTTCCGTTCGAAGATACAGAAAACGATTCAAATTAAATTAAAATTGAATAATAATGGAACGTAACGGATGTCAAGATGTCTTATGATCTATAAATTTAGGAGAACAGGCATAGGTATAGCGAAGGCTTGCATATATTTTTCCTAGGTCGCAATGAAATATGATGGAAATATAAAGAATACGGGAGTTCCTCACAGGCGCATAATGTAACGTGGAAAATAAGGTAGAGGCAGCGGAGCTGTGTAACGTGATATCGCGTTGAAAAAAAAAAAATTGGAGGAGCTCGAAATGAAAGGTAAGTAAAAAAAAAAAAAATTTATTAACGAAAAGATTTTATTAAATTTGTTCCCTTACCACTTCCAAATCGCAGTGGCGGGCCTCGAGACCGTATTCTATTCGACACTGGTCATCCGCGTTGTACATCACTCCTGGAAGAAGTTCCGTGCTGGGGAACTCGTAATTTTGCTGCTTGTCCTCCAAACAGAATCCTAAATCTGTTCTACGAGAATAATCGTATGGATAATTATGTTTAATTTCTAAATGTAAATATGTGATTTTCTATTTTTTTTTCTTTTTATATATTTTTGAGGTTATATCAGAGAGGTGTTTGTGATGTATGTTTTCTTTAGCGTGTGTAACGTGTTAAGCAAATAGTAAGATATAAAAAGTACCACCAAGTGGAAATCCAATTTCATCGTGAACAGAATTTTGTACCGATTTTTCGGTCAACAAGTTTCCCTGCTACTTTAAAATGAATGGAAAGCAAACTCAAATCGATTTGATAAATTTTTGTTGGCGCGAAACGCCACGGTTTCTTACTCGATGTACAATTTCAGCGATTCTTTCGAACACACGGACCACTTTCTCGTGATGTACAAGTTACCGGGATGCATGACCGTCGTTTCGATGTAATTTTCGTCGTGATGAATAATGCCCGGACAGCCATTTTCCTCTTTGACGTCGTGCGACATACCTAACCTATGTAAATGAATTCAAAGCGTCGAAATAAATAATTAATTCGAATCGATAGAGATAAAAATGAATACGCTATTTTGATGATCATTTCAATCCTAATGGTATCTAGAGATTCTAATTTAAAACGATTAATTTATTCATCTAACTCGAAACACTCGATTAAATAAAGATTTAAATTATTTAAACCGAAGAACATTTTTAAATTAATTTAGAATCTCTGATATAAGTTTTTAATTTAAAACTCGGTTAAACCGTCTATTAAAATTAGATAAAATTTAAACCGCTATAATTCTAAAAATAACGATTCTCGGTTAATAAACGAAAGATCATTAGAAGCGCGAAACCTTGCTCTTGAAAACGCTTTTTAATTTATCTCGATACGACTTCTGGTTCCCGAAATATCATCGTATAAGGAAAAAGTAATTTTTAACCATTTACCTTAAACCCGATTAAACCGAATTAAAATTAGAAAAAATTTGAACAGTTATAATTCCGAAGATAACGATTCTCGATCGATACACGAAAGATCGTCAGAGGCGCGAAACCTTGCCCTTCAAAATGTTTTTCGATTTATCTCGATACGACTTTCGGTTCCTCAGATATCATCGTGTAAAGAGAAAGATAATTTTTTAAGCGTTACAATCTCCATCCTCGTCTCTTACTCGGATCTCTCGCTCGCACCTCGTCTCACCGACCTATTCCAAACTTCAGACAACTGACAAACGCTATTCTGCAGATCACTAGGCCGATTCGTAATCTGCATTATCTTCATGAAAACTTTAACTCCTCGTATCTCGGCAACCGATCGAGATATCGTGATAAAACAAAAAGCAAGTGGAAGGGTATAATTTTCTCCATTTTTTGAAGTCTCATTCGATTTATTAATTTTATGTGAATGCAACGGTTCGGATTTAATATTTTTATATCTCAATATTTTTCTTAGCTACATAAAAATCCGCGGTTTATTTATACCTTTTTTGGATCGATCTTTTTTCTCATTATATTTCTTTATACTTTACAGCTCGCGTTAATGGAAGTAGCGTCTCGTGATACTTCTTATCTCTCTATATGTCATATTTTTTCCTCCTACATTCGTATATCTCTAGATACGATGCCCTATATATTATACGTTTCTGGGGAGGAAAAAGCGGGGGGAAAGAAACGGAAGAGTAGCGAAACTCTTACGTGTGGCCGAGATGGTGGGCGATGTGGTATCCCGTGTGTAGGCCAACGTCGTTTATAATGGCAGCGCCTTTCAAAGGGTCGCAAGTTCCAGCGATCGTCGAGGTACCAGTGAAACCACACACGCTCGGTGAATCGCAGATGTTACTCCTGACCAAATGAATGAGGGTTCAACCTCGTTCGAGGTTAAGTTGGGACTCGCGTAACATTAATTCGATCTCTAGCTGTACTTTGTAATCAGAATGGCACAGTCGTGGTGATTCGGGTGTGTATCGTCCCCAGGGTTAATCATTCGTTGCCACTCTTGGAAATATTTCAGGGTAGTATTCGAGTCTTTAGTTATAGTTAAGCTCATCTGTATATTATACGAATAATATTATTTATTAATAATAATAATAATAGAATATTAAAAAAGTTCTAATCAATATATATATATATATA